AAGACAACGCAACTAATTGCAATGTATCCTGATTTAAACAAACCAACTATAAGAGAAAATGTGAACACTAACTAGATATTTGATAATATTAAAAAATTATTTTTAACTTTTTAGGTGTGAAATGGGATTATAGTTACATTCAAGGCATCTTTATTATTATAATTACATACTAAAATATTTACAGATAAAGTGATGTGATGTCTAGGATTTGCTTTACAGTAAGTGGAGGCTGGCTTACAGAAGAAGCTGGATGATGGGCACACAGGGATTCATTATACTATTCTATTTTGTCATATACTTGAAATATTTTTTGATACGAGTGCTTTAATAAAATTTTGATTGCCTGAATAATGTTGGACAAGATGAATCTTATTATGAAATTATTAATAGTACACACATATTAAGACTACTTATATTGAAATATATCTAAATATATAGAGATCATATATTTCCTTTTAAAATAAAAGAAAAACTTCATATCAAATAGATTTAGAAAATTATAGATATCTAAAATGAAAACTGAAAACAGTTTAGATTATTGACAAAGAATCCATTAATAAGTACGATGAACTAATTTAATATTCCCGTAGGAAAAATAACATATTGGTTGAACAGTAACCATATCATAAAAGGAGTTAATGCTCTTGTTAATATTTCTGATGACATAAAAATAACAACACAATTTAAAGAGCCCGTTTAGGTTTTTTTTACCTCTAAAGGTGCCTGCAATATTCCAGCCAGCTGTTTGGCCAGCTGCATGTGGTACTGTGTACCTGAGCCATAGGTTTCCCTGGTAACTGGGTTAGCTATTCCCATGCTCAGCAAATACGATTTAAACCTGATGGTCTATAATGAGAGGAAAAAATGCACAAAAAGAGAATTTAGAATTAGTCTTCATCCCAACATCTGAAATCCTTCCACCATAAATTAAATTCAATTCTATTTCTAGTAGTTCTCTGCATAAATCTAATTAATCTTTCTTCCCCTATCTTGATATCCATATTCCATTTACAAGTTCAGTGTGAGCGATTTGGATGACAACTATGATATATTTAATGCCAACCAAATGATACAACCAATGGCTGTGACCAGATTGTAGACAAATTTAATGAAACAGATATCAAACTTGTAAATATTTATAAATCAGCCACTCCTTACATATTTCAGTATCTTTGTTTTCAACAATCCAAGAAAAGCTATTGAAATATCCTTTAACCTTACTAGAATCAACAAAATTTTTATGGTTAATTTTTTCTTTAGCTCTTTTACATATCCTCAAGTCCTAGAAGAAATAAAACACTACGCTGACCAAACTGGTAAACCACCAAAATATCACTGCATTATTTGTACAGTTTCTAATGCCTTAAAAAGCACCCTATTTACCTCATCTTCTGTGATGTCTCCTTGCTTCTCTTTAATCTTATTAGCAATTGATTTTGATAACTCCACCATTTCCTTAGCCTGTCAAGAGAACAGTAAAAGAATGAAAAGAAATAATGTCCTCAAAGTGTCTGAGAACAAAATGTTTTCAAAATTGTATCATAATTGGTATGAATTTAATAAATATAAATGACATCTACCTTGATCATTAGTTTGCTGAGGTCTTCAAAGGCCTGAAATGAGAAATGAGTTTTTATTGGAATTTGTCTAAAGAATTACAATGTTTTAAAGCAATAAAACACTCTATTTTCTTCCCCATGATACCAATTTATGAAGTTTTCTTACAAATGTCAATTTATTTATATAAGTAATAAATACACCTTATTCTAAGAATTCAATTTAGCTAAGAAAGCATTAATTTTCCAAAACAAACTGTAAAAAACTTTTCAAGTTTTCAAAAATAAAATAGTAACTCTTGATAAAACACAAACAAAAGGTGACATAAGTAATGGTTCAGAAAATATTATTTACTATTCTTTGACACAAGTAAGAAAATGTGTCACTGGCTTTTCTCCAAACCATTTCCTGACAGGAGGTCAAGAATCAAAGACGTCGTAAAGCTTTCCTGGCTGAAAACGGCAATGTGCAGCTGCAGGAATACTTCTTTAGACACAATTTTAGCTTTAATAGCAGATATTAAAAAAATAAAATAAAAATAAAAAATAAAGTAATATTTGATTTTTAAAAAAAAGCAGCTGAGACTTAACTGAAACCTGTGGCTGATTAACGAATTATACCTGTGGCTTTGGATATAGTGGATTTAACAAAAGAAAAACATCCAAATAGCACCAAAACAAATCTAAATAAAACCCATCAATTGTTTAACTTACTATAATGAATATCCACTTCAAAGGCCTCTTCAAATTTAATGATATATTTATATAAATTTGTTTCAAATTACCAAAATATACTTCCAGTGCAGAATACTTTCTAATTGATGTGCACAGATGTTATTTTTTAAAACTGATTGAGCAATCTATCATTAACTGAAAATCTTTTGATCTACATATACTAGTGATCAATAGGTTCTGATTAGCTTATACCCATCTTAATTACATGCAGGACGGTATCTGCAAAAGGATTTTGCTAAAAGAATAGTGTTGTGAAGGATTCTTATGGCCCATTCACTGAGGCTAATACTGAAAACAAAGGGGAATGTGCACACACCTAACAGGAATTTCCTCAGATAAACAAAAGGCTTAACACTGGATTCTTATCAGCAACAGCCAGCAGATGCAGGAAACCTTTTGTGGGAAAGTATGGGCACCAGCCCTGAAACTAAGTCAATTCTAACGTTTAAATGAAGGGCAAATCACACACCTAGTTTTCAAAAATAAAACACACAAACTCTTTACACACTTAGATTTTTATTTTGAATATAAAAAGAAGTTTAAGGAAAACTACCAACACTTTAAATTTTATATGGTAAGTTACTTTATTGTATTATATTTTCATAAAAATATGAAAAGTAATAAAAGTAACAGAATATGTAGATTAGCTTTTATTCCTGTTGGAATAAGGCTTATAAAAAATAAATATAAGTATTTTAGTGCCTTAACAAGAATTTCCTATAAAATATTTTGAGTAATTAAACACAAACAAAAGTTTCCTCATTTCTATTTCTATTATTATTCTAATATTTGGAATTAGCCAACTATCCAAAAACTGGGTGGAGAAACTACCTAAAATAAAATTAAAGCTATATATGTACAAGTGCAAACTAGATGGACATGCCCAGTCTATTATTTCACTTGCCAGTTTATAAAACCTTCTATCCCTCTACCACGTCTGTAGTTAAATTTCCACTCCAATTTTGAGAAAAGTGGCATCTGACTTAAAACCAGGGGGTACCCTCTAAGGCCAATTTGTCCCATTCTTTCTTATTTCCAGTCATTACTTTGGTTATAAGCTTCAGTAACTATTAATATAATCTTGAATTTTCTGTTTCAATATTCTTGATTCTGTACCTTTGCATATCCATTCCCTCCACCGGCCCAACTTTCAGGCCTTGACTTCCATTACTGCTACTAACAAGCCTTCCCTGACCCAAATGGAGTAAGAGGCCATGTTACATGTTCCCATTGCAGCCTCTATTTCCTCCTAAAACAACATTCTCACACTGCAGAGAAAGCCTGTTTGCCTGCCTGCCCAGTGCACCATCAGACTATCTCAAACATCTGATGCAGGGCTCACACAAAGAAGAAAACAAGTACTATCTACTGAATAAATCAGTGACCTGCAAGAGAGCACAATGTTTGTGTAGAATTCTTTGAGTTATGTTAATTTTGTGAAAATTACAGTAAAACAGTAACATTTTATAAATTAAGAAAAACAGTATTTTGAACATTAAATTAATATGGCGGCATTTGGAAAAAGGACCACTATTGATGCAGTTACCTCATTGTTCAATACCATCTCCATTAAGTGTTACTCAAAAGGATGACAACAAAAGTCACTGAAAGAGGACAGTGACAGCACCTTCTGAGTGGCAAAAAGAGTGGCCATGATGTAGTAGGCTACAATTGCCTACAAATCAGGAGACCTGAGTTCTAATAATCCTGGATCCAAATCCAGTCACTAGCTCTGAGACAATTACTTCTCTGGATAGTAAGAACAGTTCTAATGCTAAAACGCTGGAATTTTATGAGAATAAAGGATTCTGGAAAGATGGTGGCTATGGCAGCATAGATTTTTAATATCTTCAATTCTCAACATAAAAACAGAGCAACTAAATCTCGAAACCAAAAACTCACAGGCAGCATATACTACAAAACTAAATGACAAGATAGTCACAAAAACCCCAAGATACAAGCAAGTGGAGACAAACCACCAAGAGCCACAAGACCTGCATAATATCAGCATCAAAGCAGGAGAAAGGAAAGGGAGGCGCCAGGGCAACTGATCGATCTAGAATAAGAGAACCCCAAAAGATCCAACAGGTGGTCACTGGGAAGTAAAATGGGCCAAACTTGAGGACAGTAACTCAAACGGGAAGGGTTTGTCCACTTCAGTGTTGGGTGGGTACGAGAGGTCCTCAGGAAAGGCTGAAGCAGCCTATGAACTCATCAGACTGACCCTTCAGGCTTCTCTTCCAGGACAGGATCGCACACCGGGAAAAAGCTCCTGTGAGGGGAATTAAAAACTGAGCATAGTAGAGACAACAGGGAGGAAGAAAGAAAAAGGTCTAGATAAAAATGGGATGAAAACAGGGCCAAGAAATCACAGAAAGCAAGCCACTACCTTTTTAACACTGTATGAACACAGCAGAAGACTGAGCTCTGTGTAGTAAAAAAAGATATTCTGAACTAGATATTCCTCTAAAAGTTCAGGAAAACTTCACATGAAAATTAGCAACAGTAAGGTATCAAGGTCAAATTCCGTACAAAATTATTATAAGAAAAAAATAAGGAGCAGAACAACATTACAAACAATGAAGGCATGCCAAAAAGACATGTTCATTGGTCAGATCAAAATGTAATCTTTATTTCAAAATGAGCTAAAGAATGTTTTAAAAATAATGCAAGCTGGGAAAGGACAAAATAAATCAGAAATGAAATGACAAGATGCAGAAAAGGATTTTTTTAAATCATTTCTGAAATAAAGACTAGACAGAACACAAGAATGAATAAACACAACATAATATCTTAAGAGAAACAAGTAAAAAAAAGGAAAATTTTCTAAATAAAAAAGAAATGAAGAAAAGGGGTTGAAATTCACAAATAGTAAAGATAGGCAGTAAAGCTATAACATACAGCTAATATGAGTCTCAGAATAAAAAGAAATCAAAGCAATTATTGAAAATTATTATATAGAAAAACTCCTCTGAAATTAAAAGAAAAAACTTCTGAAACCAAATACAGAAAGCATATTCAATAACAACCTAGAATGAGGAGGAAAAAAAAATGGTGTAGGTCGTAGAGGCTCTGTTCATCTCCCTGGCGACCAAATCAAAGTTGTGACAGAAACAAGGAGCAAACAGCAAGGAAAAATCACCTGGGATCTAGATGAACAAGCCATACAACTAGGGAGAAGTCTATGAAACCACCCTGCAATGGCAGAAGATAGGAAGGGGCGAGGATGCGAGGCTGCCCGGTCCCTAGAGGCTGAGTGGGACAGAGGCTGCAGCAGCAGTAGCAACAGACACCTCTTAAAGGGGTCACATCTGCAAGAGAACTTTCGCGGTGATGGACCCGCTAGCTCTGAGCACCAGCGCAGGTTCAGCTGCTACGCACAGGGGGCACCAGGGACTTACAGGGAGATGTTGCACAGAAGTGCCAACGGTATCCAATATTCCTCTGCTGAGCCCTCCCCACTCCCAGTGCGTGGACACCAGCACCGCCATAGCTGAGAAGTCATCAAACTGGACAACAGAGGGTGCTCAGCCCAGAGGATTCCCTGAAACCCTGCCTCCCCCAACTGGAGGCCCCACCCAAGCCCATTCCAGGTATATACTCAGCGAGTCAGGTGCTCCTTACTGAGCAGCGCCTAGACTCACACTGGTGGCATCTGGCCTCGGTTTCTGGTGCAGCCTTTTGAGGCAACTATAAGCACAGCACCTGTGGATTGCTTGCTGAATCTTAACAGGTGGCCCTGGAGGGGCACAGGCTTGGGCTAAATTTGGCCTGCAGCTGAACCCTCTCAGGACTGTGCCACTGGACACCTACTTCACAAATCCACACTAATAAGACTGAGAGACTTAGCAGCTTTGCTTAGGACATAGAAACAGAGGCAGAAAGACAGCCAAAATGGGAAGACAAAGAAGCAGAATATATATGAGAAAACAGAACAGAGACCCAGAAATAATGAAATCAAGAAATCTAACAAATGCAGAATTCAAAACACCAGTTATAAAGATGCTCAATGAACTTATGGGAAGTGTAGATGAATTTAGTGAGAACTTCAACAAAGAGATAAAAAAACATAAAAATGGAAATGGAGATTATAAAAGGGAACCAGTCTGAAATGAAGAACACATTATCTGAGAAGTTATACTGAATGGAATAAACAAAGGTAATAAAGAAGACGATCAAATCTAGAGGATGGGAAAGCCAAGGAAACTCAATCAGAATGTCAAGAAAAAGAAGCCAAGACTGTAATAATAATTTAAGGAGCCTATGGGACACTTAAAGGTAAAAATATCCATTTCATTGGTGTATTGGAAGAAAAACAAGATGTTGAACAGCTACTTGAAGAAATAATGATGGAAAACTTCCCTAACCTGGTGAAGAAATGGACATAAAACCCCAGGAAGCTCAAAAAATCCCAAAAACCAGGAATCCAAAGAGGCCCACACCAAGACAGATCATAATTAAAATGCCAAAGGTTAAATTCAAAGAGAGAATCTTAAAAGCAGCAAGAGAAAAGCAGTTAGTTACCTACAAGGGAGCACCCATAAGACTGACAGCTGATTTCTCAAAAGAAACTATGCAGGACAAAAAGGGCTTGGCATAAAATATTTGACATGAAGACCCAAGGATCTACAACCAAGAATACTTTATCCAGCAGAGCTATCATTTAGATTGAAAGACAGATAAAGAGCTTCTCAGACAAAAATAAGCTAAAGGAATTCATCATCACCAAGCCAGTATTACAGGAAATACTGGAGGGACTTCAAGAAGAAAAAGTTTGTACCAAGAACAAGAATAAAGAATGGTAACAACTACATTCCTATCAATAAGTACCTCAAATGGAAAAGAATTAAGTGCTCCAACAAAGATAGAGTGGATGAATGGATAAGAAAACAAGACCCCTACATGCTGCCTACAAAAAACTCACTTCAGATTAAAAGACACACACAGACTAAAAGGAAGAGGATGGAAAAAGATATTGCCTTGATGGACCTAGAAGGTATTTAAGTCAGACAGAGAAAGAGAAATATCATATGATTTCACTTATATGCAAAATCTAAGGAAAAGAACAAACTAATCAAAAACAGACTCACAAATATAGTGGACAATTTGTTGATGGACAGACGGGAAGGAGGGTTAGGGAGCTGGGAGAATGGGGTGAAGGGTTAAAGAAGTAGAAATTAGTAGATGATGGATAGTCACAGGGATAGGGAGCACAGCATGAGAATGCAATTTGCATTAATATGTTGGCTAGGTGGAGGGCCAGGGGAGGAAAGGAGCAATTGGGGGGATCGTTTTATTGACTATATATATTGTCTAACCAATGTACTGTATACTTGAAACTAAAAAAAAAAAAAAGCCTCTGAAAAGTGGTCTGGGGTACCTTGAATATTTCTTGGGTTCATAGTTCTGAAGTGAAAATAATTAATTCAATACTGTAGAACAGGGAAGTGTGAGTCATGATCCCATTAATTTATCCCGAAGGAAGGAAAGGAAGGAAGGAAAGACAGACTGACTTGGGGGCGGGGGGGGGGAACCAGAATGACTAACACATTCTAGTAAACACATAGACACATTCCAGTAAAATTACTGGGATTTAAAAAAAAAAAAAAAATTCTGACAGGGAAGCAGCTCTTTAGAAAGTACTCTAACTAATAAATGAAAAATCATAGAACATCACCATTTGCAACAACCAATGAACCAACAGATCTATGCACTGAACATTAACAGCTACTAAAATCATAAAAAGAGACATGATGTGCCTCCTGATGAAAGAACACAGACCTCTAGTATTACTAAAGGATCAAACATGAGTCTCATCAAGCCTCTGGGTCTAGGTGCCAATTTGCAAGAAATACATAGGGCTGGAACATGTACAACTTTACCATAAATATGCGATCAGCAAAACCTGGACCACGGGCACTTAAGACAAATGCCCTTAGTTCCTCAACAACAATTTGTATTTTCAATTAGTGGGCCCAGAATAGATATTATATGGTTAATGTTACGTGTCAACTTGACTAGATTATGGGGTGCTCAGGAATTTGATCAACTATTATTCTGAGTGTGTCTGTGAGAGTGCTGCCACATGCGGTCAGAGTTTGAATCATTAGGCTGAGTAAACTAGACTGCCCTCTCCAATGAGGGTAGGCCTCGTCCAGTCCACTGAGGGCGTGAAGGAACAAAATGTTGGAGGAAGGGAGAATTTGCTCTTTCTCTGCCCAGCTGCTGAGCTGAGACATCAGTCTTCTCCTGCCCTTGCACTGGGACTTATCACCATCAACTCTCCTGGTTCTCAGGCCTTTGGACTCAGATTAGGATTTATATCATCAGCTTTCCTGGGTCACCAGCTTGCAGGTGGTAGACTATGGGACTTCTCAGTCCCCATAATCGCATTAGCCAATTTCTATATCTTGATATCTATATGTCTCCTATTGCTTCTGTTTCTCTGGAGAACCTTGACTAATATAAGTATTCAAGAACTATTTGCAATTTAGACTTTGAAGTTCTCTGAACAGCGTTAATCAATGGAATTTTACTTACAAACTATTTACTTACAAACTATTATAAAAACTAAAGAATTACTTCACAGACTCATTTCATAAAAATCCAAGACCACTTTTAAATAAACATAAAACCAATGATATGTTTAGATGTTTTAACTAATTTAGAATCTAATGCATAACTGATTTTCTTAACTAGCATTATCTCCCTTTCACTTGAATCTCCTCATATGTGGTGAAGTTTCAGAAATGTAATGTACATGCTCGGGTTGGTGTCCTAGTTGATAGGCTGGCTGTTTTGAGCCATTCTTACTGTCTCTGTGTCTGGTCCCTGAGTAGTCATCAGCATAAAACTGTGGTGTATGACCAGGGTTCAGGACCACAAAATAGCATTTTTCCCTCAATTAAGTTAACCAAAGGTCTATAATAATTATATAGAGGACTTTGAATTCATTAGGCATATCCCTCAATAAATTCCATCTAGATTTTAAAATTTACATATAACAATCATGGTATTTTCTAACATCACAGAAAACAAATTGGCATTTCTTTTTCATTCCTTTTTGAAAGAAGTTTTGAAACACATTTTGACTGAATTATGCCAACCTGAGGTAGACCTGTTAAATGGAATAAGATATTGTATAGCATCAAGCAAACTAAATATATTCCAATATACGGAATGGAATTAGTCACAGCTATATCCAAAAGAATAAACACAAATGGCTGAAAAAGACAGCTGACCGGAACTTGTGTACGTGTTACCTCAGAAATGTTTTTGTCGGTTTCTTTTCTTTTTTCTTCCAGTTTCCTTTCAATACCTACAATTCCTACAGCCCTTATTCTTCCTGGCTGAAAAACAAAAGTAGAAAATAAAACATACAAAATAGGAAGGACACAATCTTTCGTAACCCACCACATGGTGTTTTCAGTGGTGGGAAAGGACCCACAAAAAAACAAAGAAAAACAGCACGTAATTACATCTAGTTTCCTTTCAAAATATTTGTCAGTTCCTTGCCATATATAATAACAATCTTCAAATCATTATAAAGAAGCACTGAACATACAATAAATGGCATATTTTACTCTTCGTTTCAGATAATAAATTAAATTTCCTAACCAATTTTGTTCTTAGGCAACCTTTTACATATGCATCAGATATTTAATAGGGACTCAAAAATTGTAGTAAAAATTTTGGTACTTGACAGTTATTATACAAACTATTTTTACACATTTGAATATCTGTCCACAGTTGATAGTTAATTTAGACTGGCCTGGAAAATGTCAGCCAGGGGTACTGTGTATTCTCTCAGATGCCACACTAATTATGAAGAACAAAATGAAGGGAGTAGAATCTAATTTGTACCACCCCAAGAATTACTCTGGTAAGTAGTCATCTATTTTTACTAAGTGTCTATTGTCTACAGAGCACTAAATTAGGTTCTGTGAAAATAAATTTTGAATCAAATATCATTATTTTATTTCTGGAAAGTTCTGTAATCACAGAAATCTTTTTCCTTAATGAAGATGCAAGCACAGAGCTGAAAACATTGGATTAAGAAACAGTTTAAAAACTACCTGGGGTCCTCTGTTTGTTTGTAATGACCGGGAAACTGGAATATTCTCCCATCTTCTCTGTGTCATTTCCTCTGATAAACGCCTATAAAACTGTTATACATATAGATACACTTTAAATGAGTCAGTCAGGTTGTGGCATCCTCATATAAATCATTACTTAACATTTCTCTAGTTGAAAAGTCTATTCAGTCATTTGCAACAAGTCTAGAACTCTCAGAGACATCAAAGAAAATCAAAGGAAGTTCTTTTCTTGGATCAACTTCAGAAAGAACAAAGAAAAAAAAAAGGAACTGACCTTCTACATAAAGTGAGCTATTCTCAACAAAGAGATGAGTGACAATGAAATAAATAGACTTACTTTAAACAATCTTGCCTATGTGGATTGTTTTCAATCTATAGTGAAACTGACACCATGCCAAGAAAAATATACAACCATTATCCATGAAGAAGCAGAGAATAATTTGTCTAGTTAAAATATGTAATCAGAAATTAGGCCCAAATCATACCTCTGCTCACATAAATCAACTATATTTTTCAGCTACAGTGAGATTGACTTTAGCTAGTGACTTATATTTGTTTAGTACCTACTGTGTGAAGAGCACTGGGGGAGGTACTATAGAAAAAAGAACATAACTAATTTATGACATCAAGGGGGTGATAAACACACACTTATAAATGTCTAAAGACTATTTATACAGCAACTTATTAATCAGAATATATAAACTATCACACTATGGAAGAAGTACTTCAGTGATTAGATTTGTACAGAGTTAATAAAGATAAACTATCTGATTTAAGGCTGGCGAGCTTTCAGATACTGATGTAATTTAACATGTCACTACATTATACTCTGTCCCTTTAACCACACTACAGTAATAGACCACTGAAAACTTTACTCGTGGCCTAATGACATGACTTAGCATATTTCCAGTCTCTGTTCTTTCCTTCTGACCACACCCTCCAGCTTCCTGTTCCCACTGAAACCTAAACTTCATATTCTCCACTGATAAGGCTTAAGATACCAAAAATTTTATTGTAAAAATATTGTGCAACCTGTTGTGTTGCTTTCATCATATTAACAATATAGAAACAATATTGCATTCCATTATATTAACAAACAACAACAAAAATTTCTGGTCCAATTTTATTCATATAGAAACCTACCTCAATCTGGCCATGTTCTTTGAAGGAGAGTTTGATGTAGGAGTTCTTACTACCCTGAAATGGACCGAGCTCTTTGTTAGCAGGAGCTGGGTGGAGATGAACCACGATTTTGGCACTAAAGAAAAAGCGAATGTAATATATTAAATTGCCTTTTACAACGAATTCTATTACCATAACTTTTACTATATTTTAGGTCATTTTTAAAATTCATGTAGAATCTACGGTCATGCCACACCGAAAGTGCCTGATCTCGTCTGATCTCGGAAGCTAAGCAGGGTCGGGCCTGGTTAGTACTTGGATGGGAGACCACCTAGGAATATCAGGTGCCGTAGGCATTTTAAATGGATAAGAAAGAATATAGATGAAACAAGATTTCTAATTTTTAGCTAGATGATATATCCATAGGGGCTAATAATCTTCCTTTACTTTTAATTGTTTGAGTTTTTAAAATGTTGCTGTCAAGGTAAGATTTTTTGAAAGCCACGTTTACTGACTCTAGATAATGGCTTGTGAATTTCCTAAGTTAGATCCACAGATGCTCCTTTCTCTTCCCCCCAACCACCCTTTCTTCCCTC